CACCCCAATTTTGATTTATAGATTGGATATGGATTATTTGCGTCGACAGGAGAGAGAATGTGGCCAGAGGAAAACCAGGTGAGTATTGTTACTGAGCAAGGGCTCTCTTCACCCACCTGATGCGCACGGAAGCCAGTACTGTGGTACGCTGGTCTTTGTGGGAAGAAGCAGTTTATTACACAATCGACTGGTAAGGAGATAGAAGGAAAGGCTTGGTCTCCTCGATCCAGGGTATGGGGTAAGGTTTAAGGGATTGGTGAGGTCAGGCTGGTATGCAGAAGCACTGGCAGGATGAGTTTCGATTGGCAGACCAAAATTTTCTCTTCTGTGCATGCTCCTGGCTGCCTCGCCACTCCTGAAAAATAGCCTTAGCATTCTGTTGTTAAGATGAGGTCAGCACAGTAAACAAGGGTAAAGTTGTCACGTAGATTTAAGTCACTGCTTCTCTACTGATAAGAATTTCTAGAGATTTAGTCATCCTCTCCTTCCTGGCACAGAGAGCAAGGCAACCCTTACAAATGGAGATTTTTCTTATAAACGTAAATTTCCCTTACAAATGGGTAACTTCTACTAGGTTTTCAGAGCTTTCCCTGTGTCTGCTGTTTCTTAAAAGTAATTGGCCCAGGGAGCCGGCCCGTGGTCCAGTGGTTAAGTTCACTTGCTCTGTTTCCGCGGCCTAGGGTTTCACCAGTTTAGATCCTGGGCGTGGACATGGCACCGCTCATCAGGCCATGCTGAGGCGGCGTCCCATGTACCACAACTAGAAGGACCCACAACTAAAATATATATACAACTATGTACTGGGGCGGGGCGGGGGGTGGCCTTTGGGGAGAAAAAAGAAAAATAAAATCTTTAAAAAAAAAATAATTGGCCCAAAATAATTCTTATACCAAAGAGGCATATTTTGGGGTGGCAAATTCTGTTTCCGGTCCTGTAGTTACAGTATGGCCTTATGAAAGCCAGGGCAAGTGTGTTTCAGAAAGGAGAGAGTGGTTAACTGTATAAAACATTTCTGAGAGGCAGTGAGATGAGACCTGAAAACTGTCCAATGGACAACCTGAAGATCATTGGTGACCTTAGATCCATTTAAGGTGGAGTCATAGAGTGAAGCCAAATAAGTAAGCAGGAGGTGAAGCAGTGGAGAAAGCAAGAGTAGACAATTCTGTGAATAAATTTGGCTAAACTATCACAAGTCACCAGTGAGAGTGAAATTAGGTACAACTTTTTTGAATGGCAATTAGGCAGAATTTATGAAAATTAAAAGTACACATAGCCTTTACCCCAACAATTCTATTTCCAAGAAGTTAGCCTACAAACATACTTCACGCATACATAAAGACCTATGGAGAGGATGTTTACCGTGGCATTTTATAAACAGCTAAAGTGGACTACCACTTGCCTACTCATCAATAGAGGGCTGCTTAAATTAACTATAACACATCCACACAACGGGATATCATGTAACCATGGAAAGGACTATGTTACGGGGCCAGCCCAGCGGCACAGTGCTTAAGTTCCAACATTCTGCTTCGGTGGCCCGGGGTTCACCGGTTCAGATCCCAAGCGCAGACATGGTACCACTTGTCAAGCCATGCTGAGGCAGGCGTCCCACATATACAGTAGAGGAAGGTGGGCATGGACGTTAGCTCAGGGCTAATCTTCCAAAAAAAAAAAAAAAAAAAGGAATATGTTAGATTTACTATGTATTGAAATGGAAATATATCCAAGACTGGATGTATAGAGAAAAAAGGATAGCCATATATGTGCTTATACAAATGCATAGAAAATGCTAAGTATAGGATACCCGAGAAACTCTTCATAGTGATTACCCTTGCAAGGTGGTCATGGTAAGGAGAATTTTACTTTTCATTTTATGTTTTTCGTATTTTGGATTTTTATTGTGAGCATGTACAGTGAACTTTTACGTAATTTATATATCTTTAAAAACTAATTTTTAGAAGTTTGGCTATGAAGGGGAGAATGATACACAAGCAGTTTAGGGGTAAGCAGCCTAGAGGGAGGGATTTTTTTTTAGCTGAGAGACACCTAAGAATCTCTCTTAAAAGAGAGAGACTGAAGATACAGGAGAGAGGAAAGTCAGGGCACCAGCAAAGGGAGCTCACTGACAACGAAGTGTTGGTGGGACGCAGAGCCCAGTCCGGTTGTCCCCAGGAGGCTTTCTTCCTTCACAGTGACAGAAGAGGAGAGGGCGCCACCAGCAGGTCTTTAGATTTGGTGGCAGTAACTTGAAGTAAATACCAAGCGATGGTTTCACTCCCCTCTACATCGAGCAAGGGCCCCCAGAGCACCACCCTAGGGCTCTGGAAATGAAAAGCCACCTCTTCCCCAAGAAGCTCCCAATCTAGGGAAGGATTTAATTACTGACAATTGCCAGTCAAGTACACTTGCTCTCACCTCCAGGCCATTGTATAAACTGTGCCCTCCACCCACCACACTTCACTCCACTGCCGTCCTCCAACACATAAAGGTGCCCTTCACCTTGTCAATTCTTACTCAACTTTCTGGTCTCAATTTAAAAGTCCCTTCCCCTGGGAAGCCTTCCCTGGTCCTCTAGACAACGTTAGAAGCAACAGCCTCCTCACTGGCCTCCCTATTCTGCCCTTGCTCCGCACCAGTCTGGTATCAACGCAGCAGGTGGAGTGGTTCGCAGAAATGTGGAGTCCAATCACGTCACCCCTGACCTCAAAACCCTCCAGGGGCTTCCTATTTCAGAGTAAAAGCCCAAGTCCTAAGATGCTACAAAATTGCCTTATGGCTACTCCTCTACCCCCCTGTGTCTTCTTCCAGAGGCACTGGCCTTTTGATATAACACATCAGCCCCATTCCTACCTCAGGGCCTTTACACTTGTTCCTCTTGCTCCCTCACTTCCTTCAGGAATTAACTCAAAAGTCACCTTCTTAATACTCTGACATACGCTACAAAATGGATGAACCGTGAAGGCATTATGCTAAGTGAAATAAGCCAGTCACAAAAAGACAAATACTGCTTGATTCCACTTACATGAGGTACCTAGAGTAGTCAAGATCATGGAGACAGAAAGTAGAAAGGTGGCTGCCAGAGGCTAGGGGGCGGGGAAAGTGGGAGGTTATATTTTAAAGGGTCAAGAGTTCCGGCTGGGGAAGATGAAAAGTGTTCTGTAGATGGATGATGGTGATGGTTGCATAACAACATGAACGGACTTAATACCACTGAACTGTACATTTATAAATGGTTAACATGGTAAATACTGTTATATGTATTCTATCACAATAAAAAATAAAGTCAACTTCTCTGTAAGGTCTTCCAAGCCACCCCTTGTAAAATGTGAAGCCCTCCATAACCAGGGAGAGGGACTGAGTCATGGGACACACGGCAACAACAGAGCCAAAACTCCCGAGCTCTGGAGAAAGGGCCTCCGGGAGAAGGAAAGGAAAGAGGCCGAGACGGGGCGGGGCCAGAAAAGAGAGAACTTCCGGGGGCCGCCTCCACAACAAGGGAAAGGGGAGGGAGCTTGGGATGGGCGAGGCCAGAAAAAGAGGGAACTTCCGGGGCGGGGCCAGAAAAGAGGGAGCTTCCGGGGACCGCCTCCGCGAAAAGGAAACGGGAGTTCGGGAGGGGCGGGGCCAGGAAGGCGGGAGTTCGCGGGCAGCCTTACCCGCCGGGAGAGAGGGGAGATGGCGCTGGCTGGGTCAGGACGTCGGGGGAGGGGCAGTGCGCCTCCACTAGCCGCCGGGCCTAGGCTAAGATCTGCAGGAGGGATGTGGCTCCACAAGTTCGGGTCCTCGGCCTTCTACAGCCCCCGCCTCCACCTGTGCTGACCCGGCGGCTATAGAAGGCAGGCTTGGCAGGAGGCCTCCAGCAGCGCCCCCGCCTCGCCCATCGGACTCGCGCGCCCTCCAGTGGCGTCGTCCGGTTCGCTTCAGTCTCGACCTGAGCGCCCACCTTCCGCATCCGTAGCCCCAGCAGGAAGGCCATCTCGGCCAGGCTCGGAGCACCCATCGTTTGAAAGTTCCGCAGGGTCCTGACCCCAAGGGGACAGGAGTCCTACGTTGGTCACGGCCCGGACGCCAGCAGGGCTGCAGGAAGTGAAGTATGGCCCAGAGGGAGACCAACATTCATGACCACCTCTACCCTCAGCTGGCCTCTTTAGAGCCCGATCTGTGCCCTGGGTCAAGGTCAAGCACAGTGCCTTTGCAGGGCAACGAGCCTTTGCAGTACAGCCAAAAACACCCTTTTCTTTCAGGCAGCCCCCACTTAGCCTCCAGAGATCCACCCTCCCCCTCAGGAGCAGGTGGGAAGTAATGGGTCAGAGGTTCTGTTTCTGCTCCCTTTGTCCATACCTAGGGCCCTGGAGTGGAACCCCCTTCCACTGGATCAAAGGCCTGGAGATACTAGCTGCTCACTTGGTGCCCTGACCCTGATAACCTATTCTATCTGGGGCCCTGACCCTGGTAGCCGGTTCCAGCTTGGGGCCCTGACCTTGGTAGCCTGTTCTGTCTGGGGCCCTGACCCTGGTAGCCTGTTCTGTCTGGGGCCCTGAACCTGGTAGCCCATTCTAGCTTGGGGCCCTGACCCTGGTAGCCTGTTCTAGCTTGGGGCCCTGACCCTGGTAGCCTATGTTATCTTGGGGCCCTGACCATGACAGCTGGGGCAGGATAGCCTATTCTGTTGTAGCCCTCAGAGCACTATTCCCAGGGCCCCTTCCCCCAGAATCCATCACCAAAGCCAGGGCCTTCCCAGTGCTCAGGCGTGGGGAGGAGTAGCCTTACTGTGCCTGTTATTCAGGTCCTGCTGCAACTCCCTTTCTTGTGACCCCACCCCTCCTCTTTGTATGCTCTGACCCCACACAGCCAGGCTCAGGTTCACAGGCCAAAATCTGGACCCCTCTTCAGGCTGAAGCATGTACTTTCTCATTTAATCATGACAACCCTATGAAGTACTATTACTTACTATTACTATTCCCATTTTTACAGATGAGGAAACTGCAGGTCAGAGAAGTTAAGTAACTTGACCAGTCATACAGCTAGTACGCATTGGTAGGTGGATTTCAAACCCAGATCTGTCTGGCGTTTGGAACCCATGTTCTCAAATTCAGTGGTCTGCAGAGTAGCAACAACTGCCTTTTACCACCACTGACCAGCTCCGGGGTACTGCCCTCCTGGCCACAGGTCTGAACACCCAGCCAGACTTCCTTTTCCAAGCCCATCACATCCTTCTCCCACTTGCCAATGAAACTCAACTGTAAGTCACCACATCAGGCTGCCTGACAAACGAATCTCTTTTGCAATGCCTTGGACCATGGCATCCATCCCAAATGCCTCCCCAACCTCATGCTCCATTGCTCTTCTGAGGGTTTGGTTCACATTCCTCACTGACCTTTTGCTTATGCTCTTTGCCCTTCTTAGAATCCCTTCCCAAACCCTTCGAGAGCCACCCGTTGAAGTCCCAGAAGACTCCTAATTTCCTCAATCCAATGATCTCACACAATTCTGCATCTCAAGGCCAGAAACAGCCTCAGAAAGCTCCTCTGACCCAATATGCAGTCAGGAAGCTGCAAAGAGCAAGGAGGGCTTGAGTTCCAGTCCGACTAGCATTGGAAGGAGGAGAAAGGACACCAGTGAAGCTGTTTCTTTGAAGTCCTATGTCACCAGTTTTTTCTCCAAATCTTGCTTAGGGACAAGGGGGTAAAAGATGTTGAGAGAGAAGTGGGGTTGGAGAAAGAGACAGGTGCAGCTGAGAGATTGCTAGAGAGAAAGGAGAGAGTGTGGGAGCCATATACGTAGATGGCTTATCTTCCTATAACATCAATTTCTCTGGACTATTTTGGGTAGGGAATGAAAATCTGTAACTTAAAACATTTTAATATTTTTAAAAGATTTTAGGGAACATTAAGACCTAAAAGTAAAATTCTCCAGAATTTTAAGCTAAAACATGAAATTGTTAAGAAATTCCGTGCCCGTAGCGGGGAGAATTAGGGCTCCTTCCCCAACTGGGGGTGATTCCCTTTGTTCTGAGGTTGGGGGATAAGTGAGAGCCCAGCGCCTGGCGGGAAGTGAAGGCAGCTATTGTGATCTTCGGGGGCCGGGGAAGGGAGGCTCAGTGCCCAAGAGTATGACCTAGCCAGAGGCTCTGGGAAGGAGCACCCCTGCGTCCCCTCTGCACCCTTGGCGACAGGGTCTGGGCAGGAGGCGGAGAATGTCAGCCGCGGAGTCAGTGGCTCCGCCCACTCTCTCCCGAACCGCCCCAGCATTGACTCCACGTGGTTTTCACCACTCGCAGCGCAGAGCCGGTGGTCCCGCGGCAGCTCCAGCTCCAGGAGTGGCGCGGCGGCGAGAACCGCGAGCCCCCAAGGGATCAGTCTGTGACTTCTCCCCTGAAAAGAGCGAGGAACGCGCCCTTCCGATAAAACTGGACTCCAACCAGCTTCCGACGACAAGCTTGGGACGGAGAATCCCAGAGTCCCGAAGGACAAGTCAGCGGCCCCAGGGGAAGGACGGCCGAGGTCACCATCCAGACCGCCATGGCCGCACCCGCCCGCAGTCTATGCCACATCGCCTTCCACGTGCCCGCGGGGCAGCCCCTCGCCCAGGATCTGCAGCGCATCTTCGGCTTCCAGCCCTTGGCAGCGCGGGAGGCAGACGGCTGGCGGCAGCTGGCCCTGCGCAGCGGCGATGCAGTCTTTTTAGTGAACGAGGGCGGGGGGCGCGGGGAGCCGCTGTACGGCCTGGATCCGCGTCATGCCGTGCCTAGTGCCACCAACCTGTGCTTCGACGTAGCGGACGTTAGCGCCGCTGCCCGAGCGCTGGCCTCGAGAGGCTGCAGCGTCCCAGTGGCCCCTGTTAGCGTGCGGGATGCGCAGGGCACCGCCACCTACGCCGTCGTCAGCTCGCCGGCAGGCAACCTCAGCCTGACGCTGCTGGAGCGCGCTGGCTTCCGCGGACCCTTTCTGCCCGGCTTTGGACACGTACCCTCCGCAACCGGCCCAGGCTGGGTCAGCCACGTGGACCACCTGACTCTGGCCTGCACCCCCGGCAGCTCCCCAACACTGATGCGCTGGTTCCACGACTGTCTAGGCTTTCGCCACCTGCCACTGAGCCCAGGTGAGGATCCAGAGCTGGGCCTCGAGGTGGAAGCGGGGTCTGGACGCGGGGGGCTGAGGCTTACCGCCCTGCAAACCCCGCCAGGCAGCGCTGTCCCCACCCTTCTGCTGGCCGAGTCCCTGCTAGGGGCCACCGACGGACAGGACCAGATAGAGCAGTTTCTGGCCCAGCACAGGGGACCGGGCCTGCAGCATGTGGGGCTGTACACCCCGAACATCATGAAAGCCACTGAGCGGGTGGCAGTGGCTGGAGGCCAGCTCCTGACTCCTCCTTCCGCCTACTACCTGCAGCCGGGAAAGGAAAGACAAATCCTAGCTGCAGGGCACGAGCCTAGCCTGCTGGCCCAACAGGGCATCCTGCTAGATGGCGATAAAGGCAAGTTTTTACTTCAGGTCTTCACCAAGTCCCTCTTTGCAGAGGACACCTTCTTCCTGGAGCTGATTCAGAGGCAGGGGGCCACAGGCTTCGGCCAGGGCAACATCCGGGCGCTGTGGCAGTCGGTGCAGGAGCAAGCTGCCAGGGGTCAGGAAGCCTGAGGGCCAGAACCGGCTGCTGTCACTTGTCCTGGAGCTCCGGGGAGTCCAGCACAGGGCCTGCAGGAACCAGGAAACACCTAGAAGCCTGGAGTGAAAGACTTTGTCCCTAGGGGCCAGGTGTGGCCTCTATCTTAACAGTACCTGCTAGAAGTTGACTCCCTCACTGGGGTCCAAAGAGGTGGGATTTTTTTTTTAACTATGAAAGATTTCTTACATAGTCTATATTTAATATATATTAAAGATACAAAGAATAAAGGAATTACACAATTAGGAAATAGAACATAACCAATACTTTTGAAGCTTCCTTGTGTCCTTCTCTGATTTCTCTCCACCCTACCCACAATTTTATGATTACCCCTTGCTTTACTGTATTGTTTTACTGCATATGTAATATATCCCTAAATAAGTGATTTAGTATTTGAGGTAGGAATTTTAAGAGAACAAATCCTCCCCTGTGCTTCCGCTCTCCCTAGGGAGCAGCCGCTGCAGGTGGGAGGGGCTGGGTCAGGGCTGAGCCAGCCACCTGCTCTAGGGCCATACCACTGCTCCAATCAGAGCTGAGCAGAGACCTGGACTGAGGGTGTTGGGTGTCAGCCACTGGCAGGGGCTCCCTGCAGCTGCCTTCTCCCTCTCCTGGGGGCTGGGAGAGGACAGAGAACTCTGGACAGAACATGCCTTTCCAGCTGCCCAGGGCTGGCTGGGAGCTCAGCCAGTGGAAATCAGAACTAAGTAGGACTTACCACTTTCTGGGTCCCTCAGAGGTGAGGAGTGAGAGGGCTAGGGAGAGGGTGGAAAGTCTCCAAAACAACTACAAAAGTAAGCACTTTATTAAAAAACAGGATTCTCAGGGGGCAGGGTCTTCCAGAGGCGTCACTGGGCTGCAATCTTGAGGCTGGGTGTATCAGTGCGGATGTGGGGCCGAAACAAACTATCCAGGACTTGCTGGCCTGGGCTGGGCTTTTTCCGGCTAGACGGGGTGGCTCTTCTGGAACCCTGTGCGGAAGCAGAAGGAAGCAGGCATTGAGGGGGCAGCAAGGAATCCCCTCCTTCCACCCTCCCCTCCCCACACTGATCTAGTTCACTTTCCAGCCTGAATGTTGTAAAGCTTCCAGCCTGTCTCCAGTAACTACCTCTGTGATCAGTTCCAAAAGGCAGCCCAAGATAATCTTCCTAAGATGCAAATCTGACTCCTCTCCACCTAAAATGCTTCAGCGGCCTGGTGTTCACGGCCCTGACTGGCCTGGGCAGGCCCTGCTGGCTGCTCCAGCCAAACCAAAGGTTCACGGCAACCTGAGCATCGTGCTTTGCAGACTGCATCGTGCCGACCTTTGCTCACACTACTTGGGGCTGAAAGAACGTCCTTCCTGCTGACTCCTCTCCCCAACCTGGACACAATGATTTGTTTCTAGGGCCCAGATTACCACCCACTCCCCAGCAGCCTTTTCTGATCCTTGCCTCCCAGAGAGAACGGACAGTTCTCTACGTCACCCACAAAACCTGGTACAAACATTTCACACACTTGGGACACAACTGTCTCTATCATTTGTTCTTGTCCCTTCTCCACGCTGGACCCCAGACTGTAAATTCTCCGGGTCAAGAACTATTCCTCTCCCCCTAGTGAGGCCTGGAGTGGATGGTGTTCACCCAAAAGTGTGTCATTTAACTCACTGAAAACCCATGGATCCGGGCCTGGGGAGAGATGGCAGGGTGAGGGCCAAGAGACTCACCTTACAGGTCCCTGGCTGCTGGCCCTCGTATACGCGGAACACCTAGCCAAGGAATGAGGGGGAAGTTCAGGGCTGGGTCTTCCCTCAAAGAGCCAGACCCCTGTGTTCCGTCCTCAACTTCATGCCCCAGCACTTTTCTTTAGAATATGCCTTTTTTTTTCTGTTTACGTAGTAATAGGTTCACGTAAAACATGCAGGAAACAAGAAAAGTACAATGAAGACAACAAAGGTAGTGCCTTTTTCATGGCCGTGGAGACAGCTGCGGTGTGAAACTCCTCCCGGGTCAGCCAGCGAGCGCCAGGTGGTGTGTCGGTCACCGGGGTCTGTCCTTCCAGGGCCAGACCATATACTTGATATATCAGCTTGATGTGAGAGAAGATGTGGACCACCTGGGGGAAGGGCCAAGGGGCTGAAACAGGCCTGTGGATGTGGCCAAAAAAGCCATCATTCCTGGCCCCTCCACCACTCACTCACCTGCCCCAGGTGCTGGAGGCGGGTGGCTGGGAGTGGCCCAGCCCAATTCTGCAGTTCCTGCAGCAAGGCCTTGCGCTGACACTGCTCTGAGGGCTCCATGGTCACGGATGGGAACTCCCACAGTCCTGCCAGCAGACCTGAGAGGGAGGGGAGCCAGGCGTGGGTTAGGCCTTAGCTGCTGACTCCTCCATTTCTCCTTTCTTGCTTATGCCACTGCCCTCCACTCCTGGGATCCAGGTACCTGAGTTTGGCCTCTGTACCAGCAGAATTCGGGCACCCCCAAGGGCCCTGGGCTGCTCCAGAACACAGGTGGCAGAGCACTCCTCCCTGAGGGACTTGCGGCTGGCCTTTCTGGGAAAGTTGGCCACGCCCAGGCTCTGGTCCCAGGGCTCTGTGGGAGGCGTGCACAGCTGGCACTGTCCAGTGGTGGGAGCTGGGAACAGAGATCCCCGAGCCCCACTCAGGCCAGGTGGCTTAGGTGCCCAGCACAGAGAGCAGGCCTTGGCCCAGCTGTGCAGAAACTTCCTCAGGTTGTAGGAGGAACTGTTTCTACAGGGTCCTTGAGTGCAGGCAAGGGCTGGGGCTGGGGCTGGCACTCACCACACTCCTCCACATCAGCACTGCCTGGCAGGCTCTGTGAGGCTGACAGCTGCTCCCGCTCCACCTGAGAGGCATAGAGCAGGATGTCACGGGGCAGGGGTCACTCCCTAGGACCCCTGACCACCCCTTCCCCAGATGGCTCACTCTCTGGCGTGCCCGGCACAGGCTCTGCAGTGGGCACTGGCTGCAGAGTGGGCGCTGTGGGGTGCACACTGTGGCCCCCAGATCCATGGCTGCTTGGTTAAAGTCCCCTGGCCGGGTCGGGTCTACCAGCTGCTGGGCTAGGCTCCTACAAGAACGGGACACTGCTGTGAGCCAAAGACTCTTTGGAGACACCCTTCTCAATCTCCCTCATTACCCCAATATCCTACCAGAGCTGCTGGGAGACAAGGGTGCTGCTGGGATCAGCACCAATGGCTCGGACACGGCAGAGCACCCGTACTACATTTCCATCCACCACACCGGTTGCCTGGCACAGAGGAGTCCAGGAGTCAGCCTGGTCTGGAGAGAAGGGAGGCAGGTACGCACAAAGTGGGCGTGGGGTGTGGGCTTACCTGGCCAAAGGCAATGGAAGCAATGGCTCCGGCTGTGTACCGCCCCACACCAGGCAGGAGCTGCTGGAGGGTCTCTGCTGTACGTGGCATGTGGCCCCCTAGCTCCTCTACCACCTGATTGGGGTGGGAAGGTTTAAGGTTATGAGATACTGGAGGCCCTGGGGCCCCCACCCTCCCTGTCACCCCTTTACCTTCCGGGCTCCCTGCAGCAGCCGCCGGCCTCGAGAATAGTAGCCCAGGCCAGCCCAGAGCTGGTTCACCTCCTGTGGGTAGGGTCAGAGGTCAGAGAGATCAGTGGTCAGTCCTCAGTTGTCCCCATTCCCCCCATCCCAGGGTGACTCTCACCTCCAGTGAAGCACTGGCCAGGTCCTGCAGTGTTGGCCACTTCTACAGCCCAAAGGCAAGCAAAAAGAGATGAGGTCAAGGGTAAGGGAGGTGGAGGAAGGCTTCATTACCCCCACCCCAAAGGACAGGCTGTCATCTGGGAACTGGCCCATGACCCACCCCTTCCTTCCCTGAAGTCACCTGCATCCATCGGGTATAATAGTTGATCACCGTGGCAACCTGGGTCTGCTGCAGCATGACCTCTGAGACCCACACTAGGGGAGAGGGGTTGGCATGAGGGCACTGCTGACCCGCCCTTCTCCTAGCTCATAGCCTCTAGACCTCAAACCAGAGGGTGTCCAGGTAAAGGATCCCTGCTCTCAGGAGAAGCACTCACCAGCATATGCCCGCCTGTCCGGGTCCACTTCACCCTCTGCCTGCCAATGCAATCCCCGATGGGGAGTTAGTGCGGAGGGGGCTGGCTGCCAGCCTCCCACCCCAGAGGCCCTCTCCATCGTCTGCCTACCTGCCTTCTCCAGGGTAGGTCCCGCTTCTCTCGGTCGTACCAGCTCAGCAGACTCTCCCGGAAGACTGTGACCTCAGCTGTGTCTCTGAATAGATGGTACGGGGAGACGGAGGCCTGCAATTCCACCTCCTCCTGCCGCCTGGCCAGGCCTGCTGGGGCCTCAGGAAACTCAGGGATTGTCCCCACACAGGCTGTGCACCACGGGCCGGGGCACTGCAGCCTGGTTGCCGTCTGCTCTCACTTAGGGCTTCCTCCATCCCCATCCCCTTGCTTAAGCTTAGGAGTTGGAGTCAGACCAGAGTTCTCTAGCTGTGTCAAGCCAAGTTTCTGGCCTTAATTTTCCCAGGGAGGTACTATTGGCTCCTTGTGTCTTTGGGTGATAATGAAGCCAACAGTTTCAGCCAAGCATAATGTATACCTGTGCAGGGCTTTCCCATTTACAAGACACTTTCAGGCTGATAAAATCATTTGACTCCATGAAAGCCATGTGAAGGAGGAAATGCATAGACTACTGCTCCATTTCACTGGTAAGGAAGCAGCCATTCAGAGGAATTATCCCAAAGTCACATAGCAAAGTCAGAATTAGATCCTTAATTAGTCCCTTAATGCCTTGATACGTACCATGTTCCCTTCCCAGTCTGAATCTGTCCCCTTTCATGGCCAATAAAACCAGCCTCTGAGTCTTTGATTAAGACCAAGCTCCTCACCATTTGGGGCAGAAGGCTTGGCCTGGGTGCTGCTGCGGGCACATTTCTCCCTTCCCTCCTGGCTGGATGCCCGTTTCCTGCAACGGCTTCCCACAGCTGCTCGTGGTTTCTTCATGATGGCCTAGAAGAGAAAGGCCCAGTCAAAGCAGTCAGTCACAGTGAGGCTGAACCTTGGGGCCCTGCAGCGGGAATAGCCACCTCCCCACCTACACCATTCATATAGAGTGTCTAGCTTTCCTCAAGTACTCTCCAGATGCTCATGGGTTTGCTCTTGGCTGGCTGTGGCACTGAGGTGTGACCAGTGGGGCTGAGCCTCTGCAAGCAGCCTGAGAGGAACTAGCATCAGTGTAGTCCTGGAGACATACACAAAATAAGAGGCCAGGGCTG